AGTTCGTAAGCTAAATTTCCCCAAAACTGGTTGCGTGGGAACTCTAAATTATTACATACGAATATATACCGTAAAATTTAACACTGAGACTCAACCATGATTAGATATGTTCACTTAACACCAGTTAGGAGACAAACTATACTTAGATAATCTTCCCCAATAGTCTGTAACTTAATTTTGTCTGGTGTTAAGGAAGTATTTCTAGTTAAGGTAGAGTCTCAGTGTTAATATAGAGGACATATTCTTCATCCCATCATACAGTTTCTCTCTCGTTATTTACCTTGTATTATACACAACTAGAAAATTATATATAGATAGCAAGACTCACGTGAGCACACACACACACACACACGCTGGGGGTGAATTTACACACACACCATATAACATCTGTGTACACATTCCAATTCAGATATGCAATTACCTGGACAAATGTACGTGGGGTCAACCTGGCGAGGATTATCACAAGTGTGTGTGTGTGTGTGTGTGTGTGTGTGTGTGCGCGTTACTGTCGTGTACATCAAGTGCTATCTTACCTAAGTATAACACAACTTGTGTTGTTGTTGTTGGTGTTGTTGTTACTGGTGGTGGTGTACAGGTGTGATCTTACTTTACCTGCACTGTACACTGTCGTTTTACCCAGGTGCCGCTCAGTGTGTAGTGAACAGTGTAATCTAGCGGATGGTTCCTCTTCGTTTAGGGGGGAGGAGGAGAGGGATGGGGAAGAGGAGAGGAAGAAGAGGAAGAGGAGAGAAAGAAGAGGAGGAAAAGGAGGAAATAGAGGTGGAGACGAAGCAGAGGAACTATAGAAAGAGGAGGAGAGAGAAGAGAAGAGGAAAAGGTGGAAGTAGAGGAAGGGATAAGAAAGAGGAGAAGAACCACGAACAAATGTAAGAAAATAAACACTTTCATCCTCCTTTTAAAACCTCCTCCACCCAGCTGACCATTACTCCCCTAACTACCTCCCACTCTCCTTCCCTCATCCATCATTGGCCAGCCCTTCCCTAACATCTAACACTCAATACCACCATCATTACCACTACCACCATCATTACCACTACCACCATCATTACCACTACCACCATCATTACCACAACTACCACTACCCACCATTACCTGACACTCACTAATACCCCCCTTGGCCAGCTCTTGGTGTGGTATGGAGGTGTCCCCAGCGAGAGCCGGAGACAGAGAGGTAAAGAGGGAGAAGCTCTCTTACAAATTGCCCCCGGGAACACCACAACTGCCTGAACAACATCTACTGTATGTCCATGGCTGGGTTTGTGGCTGTGAATGTGTGTAGGTTGGGGTGAAGTGTGTTGGTGGTAGTGTGTGGGTTGGGGTGAGAGTGAGTGGGTTTGGAGGTGTGTGTGTGTGTGTGTGTACTACCAAACAGTGACAATAGGTGAAAAATAAAACACATCCAAATTTTTACAAGGACAAGAAGCAGAAAATACAGACAGGTAAAATTTCATGGTGACGTAAACGTGTTAAAATATTCACCTAAATTTACACACTGACAAGAGGCACAAAAATAAACGTCGTCAAATTTTTCACATTGACAAGAGGCACGGAAATATAGACACACACAGCAGCCGACATTCGATTTTCACGCCATCGATCCTGGACGACCAAAAGTTACGTCGCCTATGAATGATCGGTCGTGCGTGATATAAACTCTGGGTTGCCAACTAGTAAATACGTGTTCAGGCATACTCCATTTTCTCTTGTGTTTTTGTTTGGCGTGTTCCTACGTGAATGTGGTTGTTTGTCTTTGTTGAATGAGTTTGTCTCTGATTGGATGGCATGTTGGGACAGCTGAAGGATATAAAACTTTGTAAATGAGTTAATAATAGTGAGGAATTTACCGTTTCACTGAAATTACGATTCAGAAAGTAAATTTATATCTAAACTTTAATTTGTTTTAAAGTTTGATACACTTTCTTAAACAATTCTGAAATATAAGTATGGGATGACATACTATATATTACTGTACCTTCTTTATCATCTTTTATTTTATCTCAGGAAGTTATGACACATAAAACTATTTCAAATCCTCAACTGTTAATTAAATTCACGGTAATCAGCGGCCATTCATCTATGGTGGCGTCATGTCAAGGCGTGTAAACTTTTCTGACAAAAAATATCTTATTTTTTTGGTCCATGCCTTTCACATTATCGACATCAACACGCTTAAGTCAGCTCGTGTGTTGGATAATCAAAAGTTTCGCAAAATTAAACCATCTAACCAGAGACTGTCAGCTATAAAACTAAAACTTTATACTGTTTGGATAGGCTGGTGGTAATGTGTGTGTGTGTGTGTGATAAGACTTATACAAATCTTCTGGACCTCAAAGGAAATAAGCTTTTAACACCTTCCTTGTCCTGTCTTTGGTTAAATCAACTTAATGTTTACCAGTGTTTATACTATATATGTGCACTGTCTAAGCACACCCTGAACCAATGTGAACTTGTATGATCTTACTGAATATCTATCTATCTATCTCGGCGTCAGGACACACCCTTTAGCCAGTGTTCTTGGAAAACGCCTCAATCACCAAAGAACCTAAGTTAAGTTAGGTTGGGTTGGTTAGGTAAGCTACCACCACCATACCACGAGCTCTCGACTCATTCTAAATTTTATTTATTGTGAATTATTATTATTATCATTATCATTACATTTTTGCCCACAGGCCCCGATGTGGGTCAGTGACCTATGTCCGAGTGAGCTAATCCCTGTTAAAAAAAATTATATATATATATATATATATATATATATATATATATATATATATATATATATATATATATATATATATATATATATGATAAAATCACACTGGAAAAGGGAAACAACGGAGCACCGTTGTTTCCCTTTTCCCGTGTGATTTTATCAAGATTTATCTTATCCACGTTTTCATTGTGGATCTACATGATATATATGTATATATATATATATATATATATATATATATATATATATAATAAAAAGTACTGTGTGGAGACCAGAAGGGGGCGCCCCCACTACCCTGCAGAAGTGTGTCTTTGTTTACCATCAACAGACTCCTTTCCCTGGAGAATATATTCATGACCCCAGTGTGTGTAATAGTTAAGGTCCGCACGGGCAACACACACCTTGGCTTTGTGGCGAGAGGTCTGAAGTACTGACTGAGGCAGTGTGAGCTGTATAAACATCTTGCAAGACGCACCACACAAACTCTGTCCCAAGTGAAGTTTTGTTTCTATAATTCACATTCTATATACAACAAAATATATTATAAAAAAATTGCAGCGAAATATATGTAGAAATAAAATGTAGGAGCTTAATATATATGTGACTTCTATTTTATTTTGTTTTAACCTTTGTAGTTGTTATGATTCCACCGTAATTTACTTTCTCCGCAAATTTACACTCACTGCAGTAATGTTAATCAAAGTTGAAAGTTAAAGTGTAGATGATATGTGATTCCAACTACCGAGGAAAAAATTACAGCATGAAAACTTACCTCAAGGTCAAACTTCATATCAAAATCGAGAAATACAGGTAAGGAAACACTTTTCGTGTTGACCTGGATGCCATTTAACTTTTTGGAAGACTCCGAGTTTATCACTAACGGAAGATGAGATACGATTCAACTACATAAATTAAAAAATATACATATTCATATATTTTTGTTCAAGTAACATTAAATAAATATTTACTACATAAATTACATAAAATATGATATACTTAAGAAAATAGTCCGCGTTAAAAGATATCGAAAACTCCGATTTTATCAATAACGGATTTTTTTTATTCAAAAACAATGTAAAATGTAATATAATATATACTGCACGAGTAATCCTTCAGGACATGTAAGAAAACTCCGATTTGAAAAGTAATACGAATAATTTGATTCTAAATCTAAAATAATATTAATATTTCACTCAAGAGGTATCAACTCAATCTAGAATTATATAAATTATGATAAATATAATATAAATAAAGAAATACACCGTACTTAGGACACGACTATTCCCAACCTTACCCACGAGCTAAGCTGCAGTCTCCCCCACACAAACTAATTTCCTCGATAACAACCCATTGTTAACGCCTTCTGGCTAATTTTTCCGCACTAATAACTTCTTTTTTCACCAAGAATAAGATCATTACCTCAGTTTGCGGCAGGGGCGGCGTAATAAGTGTACACATACCGAGCTACCCCGTTCACTTACAGGTTAAAGGAAATAATTAACAAGAAGGAAACTCACCTCTATAACTCTTGTTGTTGTGGTGCAGCATGAAACAGCACTGCAGCATGACGCCACAGCACAGGATTAGTTATACTGTGGTTACCTCCAAGACCAAAAGACCTCTCAACACCACCAATACTTCTTACCTCTCCCAGCTGTTACATTCTACCTCCCAGCTGTTACCACCTATCAAAGCTACACATCAATTAATCTATACATTATTTTGGGAAATGTGTTGCAATAATTACCTCCAGAGGAAATACATATTTTATTTATAAGAATAAACGTGTCCTTGGCTATTATAAATGTTTGTTTTTAATTAAATTTTTTCAATTTCAATTGTTTATTCCTTGATAGAGGAAGCGGGATCCTAGTGCTGTCACTAGGTACCCCTGTACAATGACACCAGAAGCATCTGGCAAGTGTGACAAGTATATACAGAAAAAATATTATAAAGGGGCTTACTAAAGCCTAAGGAAGGAAGGATATTCCTTTAACACATAATCAATATTATTTACAAAATATCTGGCCAGTATGGGGAGGATCATCGTGTCTCCGTCAGGGGGTCGTAGAGTGGTGGTCCAGCAGGCGTCACGGAAGCGTTGTGTGTGGGGACATCTTAGGAGGTAGTGGATAAGGGTGCTGCTATCGGGTCTTCTGCATAAAATGCACAAGAGCGTTGCTCAGGGGATGCGGGGATACCAATCTCCCAAGCAAAGTCATACCCAATGATGATACGGGCAGCAATCACGTCCCCTTTCCGCGACCCTTTCCCGTAGACATACGAGAGGTCAGGAAGTTTACGGAGGACATCGTACCAGGTGGATGGCTGCTTCCCGAGCCTCTCTCTGTCCTTGGCTATTATAAATGTTTGTTTTTAATCTTGAATAAATTCTGTTGAGGTAATTCTTAGCCAAGTATATTTATTTCAAAGAGAGAGAGAGGGAGAGTGAGAGAGAGAGAGATACACACATACAGAGAGAGACAGTGCCACACTTCCTAAGGCCTTGGAGTAGAGAGACGGGGAATAGCACCTTTGAAGTTAGGATGAAGGAAGCGGTCAGGGAGTGGGTGACGGAGGGTGTATTCTGTCCAGTCTTGTCTGTGACTCTCCAAGGCGGGTCCCCACACAGGTGTTGGCTTGAAGGCGTATTCCAGCCGCTGAAATAATAACATTTTATTTATTCACGTACATATATAAATTACGAGCCTAGATGCAGGGAGCAATTGATTAGATTAGGTTAGGTTAGGTTAGGTTAGGTAATAAAATAAACTGGAGTATCTAATCTTTAGGTGATCCGATAAATCTCTTTCTTTATTTACCCCATCATTCATTATTGACTCCTCTGACTACAGTGTAGCGAGGATCAAGGGTAAAGCAACAACAAACATAGGAGGGGGGTGGGGGGGAGAAGAAAATAAAAATAAACAGGTATATAAAATGGTGAATAATCATACACAACCTCCACTATACACAAGAGACAATAATTATATAGCAAGTGTATAATAATCAACGTAATACAGCAATAGCATATATAGCCTTCTATAAACCCTATTAAATCATCATTATTAACTCATACAGTACAGTAATGTAGAACAAAACAGCGAAGTACATTAATGACATAATCCACTTTGTTAAGCATTCAAAGTATTGCTGTACCTTTGGTGTTAAAAACAACATTCATTCATACAACAATACATCAGGAAATGATTAAATAATCCCCGATATGAAGTAATCAACTGTATTTTTTTATTTCAGTCGAATCTAACTCGTGAAATACTGTAATGCACCAGGAATTAATTGGTGAATTTTCGGCTGGAAGCTGTTTATCTGTGTGTTCAGCTTACTTCACCTGAAGATTAACCACCCTAATGTTGTTTGGGGAGATGAGGTTAGGTTAGGTTAGGTTAGGTTAGGTTATTGTCGTTAAGCTGTAGGTGTAGTAAGCTGGGGTGGAGATTCTTCAGGTGATCCCAATTTACTAACATTATTCTAACATTACCGTCAGGAAGCAACATAACCACAGACAACACCAGACCCCATTAACTACCTTACAGTATAAATCTTATCATCCATTAATAGCACACACACAAAAAAAACTATTCAATTCATCAGTGAAGTAAATTGTGTTGGATGAGGGCCATTTTTCTCTGCCTAGCAATGAGGCCGAGTGGTTGGCATCAAGTGCAAACAATGTCTCTCCCATTAGTCACTGGCATTCATTCTCTCTAATTGCTCTAATAGATGTGTTCTGCTATGGCATTCCCCTTCCACAACAGTAATATATGTGAGTGTATGGTGTTTTCCTTCTAAATAAACACTGTAACTTGTGTACTACGATGGTGTTCCCCTTCCACAACAAACACAACCTCAATACACACACTGGATGCCTCGTCATAACCCCACCCCTGAATATCATCAAAAGTCCCCATGATTATATATCTTAATTCTCACTCACAGTCCATTCACCCGTGCACGTTCTTCACTGGACCGTTCACAGGCGTTATTCATATCAGGCTGGGGAAAAATTATATAAAGTAAGCGTAAAAAATAAATCTATATTTGCATCAAACGGGGGAAAAATTGTACGATATGTTTTCCCTTGTTGTACTGTACGATATGTTTTCCCTTGTTGTACTGTACGATATGTTTTCCCTTGTTGTACTGTACGATATGTTTTCCCTTGTTGTACTGTACGATATGTTTTCCCTTGTACTACACGATACGTTTTCCCTTCTTGTACTGCCAAGATATCGTATTTACTGAACAATGTTATGGTTTCGTTAGCTTACTGTTTACCAATGTTTGTATACCTGCACTATCTAAATACACGCTGAATCATTATAAACTTATATGACGATTTTACTATCTCTATATCTATACAGCCATTTATCTATCTATCTATCTACACCCACCTTGGCGAACGATCCCTTAGCAGTGGCGAGGTAGTACACGAAGTAGATGGGGATGGCGATCAAAGAAGCAATTGCCGTGAGCCAGCCAAGCATGGTGGCCCAGGAAGGGTAGACGTACTCCTTGTAGGTGAGTTGTGTAGAGCTGGATAATACTATGTTGACCAGGATGAACTGTGGGTGAGAAGGTGGTGGTTTACTGGTGGTGGTGGTGGTAATGATGGTATATGGTAGAGGGGTGGATTATGTGGAAGGGAGGAGGTGGTGGAATAGGATGTGTGGAAGACTGAAAGGCAGAATAGAGAAAGAGAGGTGTGAAGGCTTATGTGCCAGTCGCGACCTCACTATCTCCAATGGGGAGCTCTCAGGGGGTAATGGGGAGATGAGAGATAAAGGTAGAGATAAATAAAGGTACCATATATATTTTTTTCCTACGTCCATGTTCTCTCTCTGTCTCTCGAAGGTAGATAAATCTCTCTCTCTCTCTCTCTCTCTCTCTCTCTCTCTCTCTCTCTCTCTCTCTCTCAGAACTCACCAGAAGAACGAAGGGTGTGAAGCCGATCCAGGCGAAGTACCACATCTCGTTCACTACCCTGCCAGTCATCACCTGAAGGTCCTGCACCACACGGCCCCCTCCTGCAGGTAAACAACAACATAAGAACATAAGAATGGAGGAAACTGCAGCGGGCCTATTGGCCCATACTGGGCAGTCCCATTTACACCCAACCCCTATAGCTCATATAAGCATCCAACTTATGTTTAAAGCTATCCAGCGTATTCGAGTTAATGGTGATATTTGGTAACTTGTTCCACTCATCCACTAGTCTGTTTCCAAACCAGTGTTTACCTATTTCGCGCCTAAATCTAAATTTGTCTAATATAAAACCATTGTTACGAGTTCGCTCCTGGTTGGATAGTTTGAGTACCTTGGTAATGTCCCCTTTGTTTAGCCCTGACTTCCATTTATACACCTCTATCAAGTCGCCCCTCACTCTACTTCTCTCGAGGGAGTGCAAATTAAGATACTTTAACCTGTCTCTATACTCAAGGTTCCTAATGCTCGGGATTAGTCTTGTCATTCTCCAAAGAATTCTTTCCAAGGATTCTATATCCATTCTGTAATACAGTGACCAGAACTGAACTGCGTAATCCAGGTGAGGTCTCACAAGCTCAAGATATAATCATAAGATGACCTCGCTAGTCTTGTAACTAACACTCCTTTGTATGAACCCAAGCATTTTATTAGCCTTGTTACGAGCAAAAACATATTGTTTACTTGGCTTAAGGTTCCTACTTATCATTACTCCTAAATCTCTCTCGCAGTCGGATTTCTCAATGGCATCGCTGTTCATCTGGTTTCCCTGTTTACATCTCCTATACTGATTACTTTACATTTGTCCAGGTTGAATTTCATCTGCCATTTTTCAGACCATTCGAAAAATTAGTTTATATCTTCCAGTAGTTTTGCTGAGTCCTCGTCAGATTTAATTACACGTCCTATTTTAGTGTCATCAGCAAATTTACTAATGTTGCTGTCTATGCTGATATTTATGTCGTTTATGTATATAATAAATAATAATGGTCCAAGTACTGAGCCTTGGGGAACTTCACTAGTGACGTTGCTCCAATGGGATTTAGTGCGGTTAATGCTCACTTGCTGTTTCCTGTCCTGTAACCACGCCCTAATCCATTTAAGGGTATTACCTTTGATGCCATGTGCTTCTACCTTTCATATTAGTCTTTCGTGGGGGACTCTGTCGAAGGCTTTGCTAAAGTCGAGATATACCACATTATAATTGTGCCCCTCGTCCACCGATTCGAAAACTGATGAAAAGAATGTTAATAGATTAATTAGACATGAACGCCCGCTTGTGAAGCCATGCTGGGAATCATTGATCAATCCGTGCTTCTCCAGGTGATTTCGAATAGAGTTTGAAATGATTGCTTCCAGTAATTTGCCTACTATTGATGTTAGACTGATTGGACGGTAGTTAGAGGATACTGATCTATCCCCCTTCTTGAAAATCGGTATTACATTCGCTATCCTCCAGGATTCTGGTACTACACCTGTTTTTAAGGACACGTTAAACAACTTTGCTAAGGGCATACTAAGCTCTTCCTTACATTCCTTTAATACTCTGGCAAATATCTCATCGGGACCAGGTGACTTATTAGGCTTTAGTTTGTCTATTTGCTTACTAACATCGGTACTAGTCACTACTATCTCGCTTAATTTGTTTTCTTCGCTATCTCTGAATAGAGTCGGTGCCTCGGGTATCATGTTTAAATTTTCGGTGGTGAAAACTGTTGAAAAATATTTATTCAGATTATTGCTCATTTCTCCATCGTTATCAGTTAGCTCGCCCGTATCTGACTGTATTGGTCCAATCTTTTCTCGTGTTTTAGTTTGATACATTTGATAGAATCCTTTGAGGTTTGTCTTCGCCTCCCTTGCTATCTTCACCTCATTATTCCTCTTTGCTTTCCTTATCACGGTCTTAACCCTACTGGCCAATACCTTATAATAATCCCGGAGGTAAATTTCGCCACGATTTATCCTTCTACCTATAGCCCTCCTTTGGCCAATAATGTTCTTTAAATAATTATTTATCCATTTAGGGTCATTGTTGTCTGTTCTGAGTTTTTTGTGTGGTATGTTCTGCTTTTGTGCATTAAGTAACTCAGTATTTAAATTGTCGTGGAACTCTGCAATCTCAGAACTCGTTATCATGTCTGTATCAGCCATCAGGTTCATGGGTGGGGTGAGGTCGGTGTAATTCACCCCCAAGTGCGACACCCCTTCCCTCAACTGCCTCTTCAAACTATCAAAGTTTGCCCTTCTGAAATCTGGGACTTTTGTGGAATTTTCCTTACGTCTGCCCTGAAAATCTAACTGGAATCTAATTTCTTGGTGATCGCTGTTTGCAAGTTCGTTCCCTACCTCGACATTGTTCGACAGAACTAAATCGAGTATATTATTTCCCCAGGTGGGTTCGGTTATATGTTGACTTAGGAAACAATCCTTGATCGTTTCGAGAAAATCCTCTGATTCTGAGTTAACCGTAAGGTCAATCACATCAGACACACGCACCGCTTAACGTGACTAAAAAAAAATAAAGTCATAAATAATATACATCACTGAAAATAAATCACGAATAAATAATTTTAATGAAAATCAATAACAGTTTGATATGCATAATGTTATCAATTAGTAAGATGGATGAAATGAATAAAAACTGAATGAAAATAAAGTCATCATTTTGTAGTTACTGAAAATAAATAAGAGATTCAATAAACAAATATAAATGAATAAGCAATAATTATGAACAAACTTTATTATGACCGTCAATATATACAGTATTATTAAATCTAAACATCAAAGTTATTAAAATCACCAAAAATAATAATGATAATAACTTTGAAAATAATTTACACAAAGTACGAAAACTACTACAGTATTTGATAAATATTCTGACATCATGGTCGACAGTGATGCAGACAGAACACCTCCCCTTTGTAGACAGACCTCCCGCCTTGTAGACAAACCTCCCCCTTGTAGACAGACATCCTCCTTGTAGACAAACCTCCCCTTGTAGACAGACCTCCTTGTAGACAGACCTCCCCTGGTAGACAGACCTCCCTATTGTCGACAGTGATGCAGACAGAACACCTTCCCCTTGTAGACAGACCTCCCTATTGTCGACAGTGATGCAGACAGAACACCTTCCCCTTGTAGACAGACCTCCTTATTGTCGACAGTGATGCAGACAGAAGACCTCCCCCTTGTAGACAGACCTCCCCCCTTGTAGGCAGACCTCCTTATTGTCGACAGTGATGCAGACAGAAGACCTCCCCCTTGTTGACAGGTCGGAGAGGCAGCTCTCGTCCCCAAACAAACACAGACAAAAGAATGGACAGAAACCCTTCTCCGTTTTTCTCCGCCAAGATGAATGGCCGAGTTTTAAAAGGTCATTTTTTTCATTAGCGTTTCTCATTTATTGAACATAAAGAGAAGACGGCTTGTCTTTTATCTATTGTAAAGTTTGTCGCTGAAGAATACAGAGGTGGTTGTGTGTGTGTGTGTGTGTGTGTGTTAGAATACAGCAAAGTAGAAGAACAATAAGAACAAGAACAGGAAGAATTAAAACTTTTATATATTCTCCCTCTTCCCTCGTCTTCCTCCTCCGTTTATCCCCTCTGCTCTCTCCCTTAATCCTCCTCTACCCTCTCTCTCCGTTGTTTTTTCACCACAATTCTTCTTATTCCTCTTTCATCTTCCCCCTTCCCTCTCCCTCTCCGCCCACTGCAATCTTCAGCCTAGGAAATAATAACAACACTGCCCCAAGTCACGACAACAGGAAGAGAAGGAGAAGAGGAAGAGGAGGAGGAAGAGGTAAAAGTAGAAGAGGAGGTGGATGAGGAAGAGGAGGAGGAGGAAGAGGCGGAAGTAGAAGAGGAGGTGGATGAAGAAGAGAAGGGGTAAGAGATGAAAGTGGAAGAGGAAGAGGAAGAAAAAGAGTAGGAGGAAGAGGTTAGGTTAAAATTGATTAGGTTAGGTTAGGTTAATCTTCAAGTGAAATAATGCTGGGAGGACTAATCTTCAGGTAAAATGAACTGGCTGGACTAATCTTCAGGTGAGTGAGTGAGCATTGATAATCCCACACGTCAGGCTCAACAAACTATACGCTAGACCAGAGGCTGTTAATAAGAGTACTTTTCACCCTCGTTATAAATCCATCAGTTGATAAATAGTTCAAAAGTCCACAGAAATATGTGAAGCGAGAGAAGCGCCGCGATATGCAGAAAGAAAGAAGAATTACCCAAGAAACGAGAGAGGGGGAAGGAAGGGGGAGTGGGAGAGTATAGAAACGACTCAAGGCAAGGGAAACATCAGAGAGTGCGAAAGTATGTCAAGAGAGTACAGAAAGTAGATGAGAGACTCGTAAAATAGGCGGCGGAAAATGTGGTGTGAGAAGCGGGGGAAGGTTTCGCCGTCAGAATACCACACAAGGCAGCATCGCCTCGGTCCTGATTGTGCTTATCACTCTGGTAAACTTTCCTCCTCTCGTGTGTTCATGGTGGCCAGGTGCTGTGTTGCATCTTGTGTGGAGGTGGGTGGGAGGGTGGATGGTTATGGGTGGGTAGGACTGTGGGTGGGGGGGGGGAAGGTGTAATAATAATAATAATAATAATAATTAACGGTTTATTGAACAAATTCTGCAGCCCGAAGGCTGAAAATATACATTGGACATAAATGACTTATTACATACATTGGTGGTTTAACAAAAGCCTTCATTAGAGAAAGGTATAGGAACATACAGTGAACATACAGATTAATGTAGGTGTTGAACAGCAAACTCGTAGTGTAGTAACTCCCTCCCAGATGGTGTTAGGAGGAACTCACGTGGTGTAGTAGTTCCCTCAGATGGTGTTATGAGGGACCTGGCGTGGTGTAGTAATTCCCTCGCAGATGGTGTTATGAGGGGCCTCACGTGGTGTAGTAATTCCCTCACAGATGGTGTTATGAGGGACCTCACGTGGTGTAGTAATTACCTCACAGATGGTGTTATGAGGGACCTCACGTGGTGTAGTAATTCCCTCACAGATGGTGTTATGAGGGACCTCACGTGGTGTAGTAATTACCTCACAGATGGTGTTATGAGGGACCTCACGTGGTGTAGTAATTACCTCACAGATGGTGTTATGAGGGACCTCACGTGGTGTAGTAATTACCTCACAGATGGTGTTATGAGGGGCCTCACGTGGTGTAGTAATTCCCTCACAGATGGTGTTATGAGGGGCATCACGTGGTGTAGTAATTCCCTCACAGATGGTGTTATGAGGGGCCTGACGTGGTGTAGTAATTCCCTCACAGATGGTGTTATGAGGGACCTCACGTGGTGTAGTAATTCCCTCACAGATGGTGTTATATGAGTGAGGTTTGGTCTTAGGCCTTCCTATCGTAGACGGATTAACACATCGCTGGTTGTTGTTGGGTCTCACGGGCCGTTATCACTGGGTATCTGGGACCTCACTGTGTGAAGGTTAACTTGGGTACGACTGTTATTGTTGAGTTGTTCTCACTGACTTAAGCACTGTTCACCTCTGTTTAACACTGGTTCCGTTCCTTTCCTAAATGAAATTGTAACTTCTGGCGTGAACTTGTTGATATTCCGGTGGGGAGCAGGGTTCAGGGGAGGGAGTTGGTATGGGCCAACTTAACAGTTGACCTGGCTGCTCCGAGAGGAGCGCCAGGTACGTCTTGACCCTTCGGTGGTCAAGGATGTGTGTGTGTGTGTGTGTGTGTGTGTGTGTGTGAGGGGGTTAGGTTAGGTTAGATTAGATTAGATAGGTGTGGGTGTGGGTGGATGCTGACAAAGACGTAAACAACAGCATCAAACATAACTTCTGTACCCAGCATCGACATCAAGTGAAAACCAAGAAAACACACACAGGGACTTGCCTGTAGATGCGGACGATGACGATGACATACGACGACGAGTACTTACCATAGATATAGGCGAAGACGATGATCTCACCCAAGGTAGTAAGGATGATGGTGAGGGGGACGGCGTAGAAGTCGAGCAGTTGCAGCATATACATCCCTCCCTGTACCACCACAATCACTGTTAGACAAGGTATGGAAACATGGGGAAACCTTAACCTAACCTAACCTAACCTAACCTAACCTAACTGTACTGAACAACAGTGAGTAAGTTAAGTGAGTGAATGACTAACTGAATGAATATGACTGTATGAGTGACTGACTAAGTGACCCACTACCTGCCTTATCACTTGATCCCCTCCAGCAGGACAGACTCGACCCAGATAAAAACAAGACTTCATCAATAATGTTCAAGTATCTCGTGTGTGTGTGTGTGTGTGTGTGTGTGTTAGGTTACATATGTTAAGCTCATTTAGAAGTGGATCCTAAATAATTATAACGGTTAGGTTAGATTAAATTAAACCATAAGAAGAAGAAGGAGGAGGAGAAGAATTACCTGGGTACAACAGGAGAGAGAGCCGAGGAAACAGATGAGGCAGGAGATGAAGGCGACCAAGGTCTTCCGTACTCGAAGTCGCGGGTACTCGTCCACCAGCGACACCACCATAGCCTCCATTTGCACGAACTGAAATATTTGACCAGTTTTTAGGATTATTGTTGCAACTATCAGTGGTCAGTACAAGGTGGTCGTTGCAACAGAGAAGTCAATGCAATGTTGCAACACAAGAGGAAGATTATGGGGGAAATACAGCAAAATGACTATCAGATGAACATGTAGGATATCAATCTCTCTCTTTCATTATTGCCGTCTCTCTCCATCTGTCTTTGTCTCTTTCATTCTTTCTCCTTTCTTTCCCCCTGTTTGCCTCTCTCTCTCTCCCTTTGTCTCTTTCATTCTTTCTGTCTCTCTACTTCTCTCTCTTCTTTTCTTTTTCTCAGTCCTTCTATTCATCTACCAATTATCATTCTGTCGCTCTCTCTCGCCCCCTCACCAGTAAACTCACAATAGAGTCAACGCCGAGGAAGAAGAGCATGAGGAAGAAGGTGACGGCCCACAGGGGCGCCAGTGGCATCAGTGTCAGTGCCTCTGGGAAGGTGATGAATGCCAGTGATGGACCTGAAAGAGGGAGAGACCTGTGAGTGAGGGACCTGTAAGAGGGAGAGACCTGTGAGTGAGGGACCTGTAAGAGGGAGAGACCTGTGAGTGAGGGACCTGTAAGAGGGAGAGACCTGTGAGTGAGGGACCTGTAAGAGGGAGAGACCTGTGAGTGAGGGACCTGTAAGAGGGAGAGACCTGTGAGTGAGGGACCTGTAAGAGGGAGAGAGCCTGTGAGTGAGGGACCTGTAAGAGGGAGAGACCTATGAGTGAGGGACCTGTAAGAGGGAGAGACCTGTGAGAGGGAACGAAAGGGTACTGAGGTGAGGGTTTTAGTTTATAGTGAAGTAATGATGATTTATATATATATATATATATATATATATATATATATATATATATATATATATATATATATATATATATATATATATATGTTACTGCAA